AGCCGCTCCGCGGCACGTGGGATCCTCCCGGACCGGGGCATGAACCCATGTCCCCTGCGTCGGCAGGCGGACTATCAACTGCTGTGCTACCAGGGAAGCCCAGCCCAAGCCCTTTCATCACTGGGTCACCCGGCAGGTGTGCCAACGAGTCTGGCAGGGTTGGAGGTGGGTCCCTGGCTCTTACCCAGCACACAGACCCCATGCCTGTGGGCAGCGTTGGTCCAGCCTACCGGGGGGATGGTGACCGTGTGATGGCTGAAGTATACAAAGATGTCGATGTGCTGCCAGTGGTAGAAGGAATAGGGGTTCTGCGTGGCTGAGCCCTGAATAAACCTAGTGAAGAAAGAGAACAAAGTCAGGACCCAGAAACACAAGGACACGACGACCCCACGGTTAAAAGAGAGGGCAATGGCGAGTGAGTGAGCATTCTCTTTGGTTCCATCTGGTCGGCGCTAACGGCAAGCTTGCTGTGAGCCAGGCCCTGACTAATGACTGGGCTGAGAAGCAGCATAGGCCACAGCCCGGACGTTGACAGGGTTGGTCGCAAGGGAAACGTTTTTACCAGGCCGTGCAGGTACCCCCGGCATGGGACCCGATGGACTGAGCATGTTTAGCCTCAACAAGCAGACAAACACAGGACAGAAGGAAAGAGACGGGGAGGGGCTCATGCAGAGCTCCCGTGCCTGGGGTCCCACTCTGTTCTGAAGTCAGCAGTTCCCCAGGACATAGCCTGCCTGCTGGTAAGGTTGGGGTTGACAACCACGTGAGCTACACCCGAGGTTACATCACCTGCCTCTGTCTGTACCTTGCTGGCCAGCTCTGACTCAAGCCTTCCCAACAATCGTCATGTCCAAGATTGTTTTATGGACGTTTAAGATCTCTAAGCTGACCCCGCAGCAACCTGGAGGAAGTGCCCCCGGCTGCGGAGGGGAGGGGGTGGAACAACTCCAGAGCCAGTGGAAGATGGAAGGGAGCTCGAGTGAGGAGGATGAAGAAAAGAAATCAGCTGAAGAACCAAGTTTCTGCACCAGGCCATCTGAAGAGGGTCCCGGCTGTGGTGCCCTCTCCAGCCTCCCAGACTTCAGGTGCAGGTAGTCCCCAGAATCAAACAGTTTCAGAGCTGAAAGAGGCATCAGCTATTGCCTAATCCAGTGCCCTCTTCTTACAGACGAAACAAAGAGGCCTGAGTTCCTCTCCCAGCTGGTGGCAGTGTGGGCTGATGCCCCGTCTCCTGACTCCCCATCCGGTGCTCCTTCTGCCACACGGCACGCTCCCGCCCCTCCATCCCCTCCCGCCAGGCGATGCCCTCGCAGTGTCCTCACTTGTCATCCAGGTACCCGCCCATCATGTCATGGCACATCAAAGTCCGGGGCCTGCTGCTGCTCAGAGGGGGCTGCCGACACTCAGGGGGCCCTAAGGCCACGTTAAAGCTGTCCTCCACGTTGGGCGTCCATGCCAAGAGTTCCTCCAGGGAAGACAAGTAAAAGCTGATGGGTTTGGTGGTGTCCTTGTCATAATATCGAACTGGTTCAGAGGAGGGAAACAGCGAGGAATCAGTGGAAATTATGGGATTAGTAACAGAAAACTTGAGATGGGGAGGGGACAGCCCTGTCCAGAAGCTCCAAGAGTGAACACGGACACAAGTGTTCAGAGCCTCGGTCCTTCTCACCTGGCAAAGGGTCTGGGGTAAAACTGACCACTTCTCGAAAGACTGCTTCTTGAGCCTCTTCAATTCTAAGCAAAGAAAGAGTTAAATTTTTTTTAAATAAAAGGGTAAAGAAAAAGAGCACTTTGAAGCCAACAGACCAGCCCGCACTTAGACATGCAGGGGGAGATGTCCTCTGGCTTACATTTTTTAATGCAAACTATGGAAACGTGCCTTTGCCCATTGTGTTCCCTCAAACTGGAACACCCTTCCGTCCACTCTCCACCTACTGAAATCCTCCACCTCCTCAAAGGCCAGTTCACATGTCCCCGCTCCAGGCACCAACCCCTTTCCTGCCCAGCATGGGCACGAATAACCCTAATTACACACGCTGGCCTGCCCTGAGCAATTAAAAATGCCACGCTCGGATCCTCTGCGCAGATCCACCGCCAGGGGTGGAAGGCACGATCAACGCATTTCGCAGATGAGGATGTCGAAGCTTCCCGCCAGGGCGCCAGGATTCCCAGCCTGGCCCGCTGCTGAGGTCGCATCACGGTTCCGAGACTCTGTCCGTGCCTGCTGCTGTGCGGGCTGGGGCGGCGGGCAGGACCCGCCGCGGACACGGGGCTTGGGGGCCGAAGATTGCTGTCATGCGCCCGGAGCTCCCAGCGCGCCTCCCGGGGCCTGGGCCGGACGCCCATCGACTCTGGCCCCACTGCCCGGCCGCGGGACGGGGCCGCGGGATTCGCCCACCGGTCTCTTACCCACCTCCTCTGCGGCAGCCGCCCGCCTGGCTGGGGATCCCGCTGCTCCTTCAGGGTCGCCGGCGCCCGCAGCCGCCGGTCCCGCCGCCGCGCAGCCGCCCGTGTCCCGGCGCCCGCGGCCTCCATGACTTTGCCCCGCCCGTGCCTCCCGGCAGCCCGGCTGCCGGCCAATCGCAGTCTGGAACCCGCCCCTGACACCGCTAGCCGGCCAATGGGGACTTCTAGGAGCTGCTGCCCCGCCCCGACTGGGCTCCAGACGGACTCCAGGCTCGCGCCATGGGCTGGCTCACCTGCCGCCGGGCCTTTGTAGCGGAGGAAGGTCTGGGGGCGGGGCCTGTGGCGGGGCGGGGCCGAGACGAGGGGCGGTGTACCAGTTCTGGCCTCGCCGGCCTCCTTTTTCAGATGAGCGATCTCCCGAAGGTCACAAAGTCAGTAAATTGTAGAAGCGATATCTGAACTCAGTTCGTCTAATCCCTATTCAAAGATAATTTTCAGAAAAAGGTGAAATAATAATTCTCAATCAGCTATAAATATAGACAAATGTTAAAGATTGTCCTATTCGTTAATCAGCGAAGGAAACAGGTATTATAACCAGTTCAAAAGCGAATCAAAAAAGAGAGCCTTTTATAGATCAGGAATATTGAAATGAGAACGTTAATAGAGGCAGAATGAGTTTTTCCGCAGGAGTGGGGGGTGGGCAAGATCACTGAACGTCTGGACAAGACAATTTACAATTTACGTTGTAAAGAAGATGATAAAAAGCTAGAATCAGATTAAGTGGTACAAACTACTGTGTGTGTATAAAATAAATAAGCTTCAAGGATATAGTGTACAACACAGGGAATATAGCCAATATTTTATAATAACTATAAATGGAGCATAACCTTTAAAAACTGTGAATCACTATGTTGTACTGAAACTTATATAATATTGTACATCAACTATACCTCAACTTTTTAAAAAAGCTAGGATCAGATAACAGCAGGATGTGCAGTATGTAGACAATGCATAGTTTCCACTGAAGCACAATTTTTTTTCTACACCCCCAAATCTGCAGGTCCCCAAGCCCACAGGGCCTGGAGGTATCTCAGAGGTGGCACCTCCCCAGCATCTTGGGCACAGAGGGGTTCCCAGTGTGTGGAGTGTGAGGAGAAGCGCCTGGACTCAAGGCTGGGCCCTGCAGGGCTGAGTTTGGGCCCGCCCAATGTGCCCCTCACCCAGCCCCCAGCACCCCTTCGTACAGCCAGGAGTGTCCTGCTGCCCAAGCCAAGTTGAGTGGGCCTCTTTATTATCACTGCAGACTTTGAACTTTATGAGGCCCCAAGCTTCCATAAACCCTGAGAGTGGGGAAAATGACTAGGCTGTGGAATACGTATCCCGGCCATGCTGCAGGGGAAGACAGGGCCCTCGGGAGAAGGTGGCAGTGATCACAGGGACTGCAAAGCCCTGGGAAGTCTGCCTTGAGAAGGGGGCGCAGGGTCAAGACCCCCCTCTGGCTGTGCTCAGGGGAGCGCAGAAGATGTGGAGTCTGCATTTGATCTGCATTTAAGCCGCTTACCTGCAGCTTAGTGGTAAAAATAAACTTTCCATCCTCAGAACTCAAATATAGTTCTTAGAGATTCCTTAGGGTAATGCTCAGTGTCTGGGGGGAAAAATACTTGGGCCTCCCTTCCCTGCCCCTCTTGGCAGTGTTTCCCTCTGGTCTGGGGGAGCAGGGAAGTTTAAGTCACCCTGCACACCCTCCCCAGAGCAGCCCGGAAGACTCTGGTCTGTGGCCTCTGCATTGGCCCCTGCTTTGCCGCCTGCCCTGCAGGTCCCTGTGGCTCCTGGTCTCAAGATCCTTGTCCTGGGTCAGGGCGATCCTGGAGGTCCCCATGTTTGCCTTGAGCTCACGCTGGTCCCGCTGGGGCTCCACACCCCTCCAAAGCCTGGCTAGGCCCCCTAAAACCCTCACCTTGTAGCGTTTCCAGATGAAGTACAGGACACCCAATTAAATTGGATTTCCAGATAAACAACAAATGGAAACGGGACATGATTATACTAAGCAATTCTTTCTCATTTACCTGAAATTCAAAGTGAACTGGGATCCTGAGTTTGCTAAATCTGGCAGCCCTACCTGTGAATCTTCGCTGCAGCCTTGCTGCAGAGCCCCCTTGCCCTGCCATGGGGGCCCCACCGACGCCTCCTGGCTCTGTCCATGCCAGCACAGGAAGCCAGGTTGGCTCGGAAACCTGAGCCTGGGGACCTCCCCTGCCTGATCGACCAACTGTGCCACCGGCTTGGTGCTGCGCACCTCGTGTTTCCCACACTGGCTGCCACATCTGCCCCTCGGTTGGGCCCAGCGGAGACCTGGACTCACATCTGCTTGCTTTGCCTTCCTCCACTCTCTCCCTTCCAGCCTCCACAATCTCCCAGGAGCGAGAACCAGGTCACCTGCTCCACAGGCTTCGTTGTTCATATGCTGAAGGGTGTGGCAGCAACAAATTGTCCCCAATATCCCTCCTCCCCTTGTACTTTAGGGAGAGAAGCCCATGTTTTAGCTGGCAGCTGGCTGCTGGCTGCCCAGATGAAGACAACATCCCCAGCAGTTTAGAGGGGCCTGGCGAGCACGTTCTGGTTTCCAGATGAGAATGGAAGTCACACTTGCAATTCTGGCTGTGCCTGCAAAACAAAGGAACACGCTCCCCACTTTTTCTTCCCTGCTTTCGGCTGGCGGCCAGGTGGGTGTGGGATGTGATGGTAGGCACTGCAGCAGCCGTCTGAGACTGTAAGACAGAAGCCACATTGGGAGGGCATGGAGCAACCAGAGAGAAGGGGCCTGGCTCCCCCAGTGGCACGGACCACAGTATTGCCCTGGACTGCTGGTGTTTGAATTCCTATGGAAGGAAAATAAACTACGGTCTGATTTAAGCCAACAGTACTTTGGTAGCTGAATCTAACTACAACAGGGGGAGAACACAGGAATTTAGAAAAACCTCTCAAAATAATAGCCTGCCTTGCAAGGCTGTTATCGGTTTTTGTTTGTTTGGTTTTTGTTTTGGGGGGGATTTTTCTTCAAAATCTTATTATCTTATTATTGTTCTTCAGTGCATTCCTTCTGCAGTAAATCCCACTTTCCCTTCACTCAGCTACCTCAGACCAGCTGGGGTGAGAGCAAAAATCACATTAAAGACCTGCTTCTGAACTATCGCTCTGTATGGTCAGGCCCCTCAAGGGGGCTGTTCTCTTGCTCTCTTACATCCCCTGCTCCACCAATGCCTGTTCCACCTGCACCCTACTCACCTGACTGACCTTCTTACATACTTGCCCCTGGCCCAGGCTAGATTGTTCTAGTTTTAGATCTGAACATCAACACGATAGCTTATCAAAGGGGCGGTAAGGAGTGTGCCCCTCTGCTTGTTCCCCTGGTAACTGATGAGCCCACCTGATGTCAATTCCCCCCTATAACTGGTAACCACCCCCTCCCCCTGGGAGCAAAGACGCCGCCACATCCCACCCGCCGTGGACTGCACACAAAATGGTGGGTTGTCACTCCAGGACCTTGCTTCCGACACGTAAGCTCCCCCATCCATTAAACCATTGATGTGTCTGTCACTGACTCCAGGCTCTTTGGTCTTGAAGCTGGGCCAGCACGGGGCTTGCAGGCCTGCATGGTGCAGCTCAACACACTCCCTTTTACAGAGTTCTCCTAGGTGCTCAGCAAAGACTTAAGGAATGAAAGGATGCTGGGCCCAGCTCCTGGCTCTAGCCACCCACCTCACCTTTACACCCACTCGAGGCTGTGCCCAGGCATCTGCTTGAACGTCCTGCACAACGAATATTGAGCCCCTCCTGGCTCATGTCTGCCTGTGAGCACACACTCCTCGACAATCATGGCAAACTTGGGGTGCCTGCCCTTGCCGGGTCCCCGTATCATTATACCTGAACAACAGTTACATTCATTTTCTCCTTTTAAAAATTTAAAGCACTGCAGATGAAATGAATGTTCCCTTTAATCCACCTCCTGATTTCCTTGCCTCCCCTGTCCTCCTGAGACCCCTCAATATTCCCCCAGTTCTATTGGTTTGACGTGTATCCTTCCAGATGTCTTTAAATACTTTTACACACCTGTATATATCTGGAACCATATAACATTGTTTGTGTTTCATAAAAATGGTATCAAAAAAAATGGTATCGGGCTTCCCTGGTGGCGCAGTGGTTGAGAGTCCGCCTGCTGATGCAGGGTACACGGTGTTCGTGCCCCGGTCCGGGAAGATCCCACATGCCATGGAGTGGCTGGGCCCGTGAGCCATAGCCACTGAGCCTGCGCGTCCGGAGCCTGTGCTCCGCAACGGGAGAGGCCACAACAGTGAGAGGCCCATGTACCGCAAAAAAAAAAAAAGGTATCATATTGTACACATTATTCTGTATCTTGTTTTTTTTCACTCAGCAATATTTTTGAAATCAAGCCACATTGATTGAAATAGCTCTAATTTGTTTGTTTTGACTATTGTTTACTCTGCTATCATTTTGACACATCAGTCTACTTACCCATCTACCCATCGGTGGACATTTAAATAGTAAACATTTGTTTGCTATTATTTTTTACACGTTAAAATGAACATATTTCTATAGACCGTTTGAGGTATATGTATGTTTTTTTCTTTTTCAGATAAAACAGGATTAGAGTTGCTGCGAGTGACAGCACGCACGTTTTCAGTTTTAAGTCACTACCAAACTGCCATCCGAATGCTCCGTCACCAACATCCTCCCCAGTGCGGGGTAAATACAGGTTATTCCACAACCTCTCAAACAGTGATATTATAGAACTTGAAGATTTTTGCTCACTGGGTGGGTGCCCGAAGGTGTCTGGCTGTTGTTTTTAATTGAAGTTGCAGCTTTTCGTGTTGGTCAGCCATTTGGAAATGAGTTTTCTTCCATGGCATACCTGTTGCAGGGCGGAGGGAGGTTTGCCCATTACTACTGTGTTGTCTTTCCTTCCTGTTGCGTAGGTGTTGCATATATTCTAAATACTAATATTTTGCCTCTTACATACATAGATGGAACAAATATATGTCTGCTTATCTTGTACTATAGGTCTTTTAGATTCCCATATGGTCAAGTTTATTAATACTGTCCTTTGTGGC